AGGACCCTGTCCACATCTTCAGGAGCAACAGAGTCAAACTCCTCCCATACAACCGTCTCAAGACCTGCTCCCGTCTCCTCCCCCTGGACTAACCAGTCGGAGTCCAAGCTTTCCCGAATCCGTGCGACTTTGTCATACAGATACTGCACAAAATCCTCTGCCCTCCCCTCCAGGGGGTCCCCCCCCCTCCAATTGAAGGTTGTATTGGTTGTACAATAGCTTTCCCCAACTTGGGTGCCCTTCAGTTGTGTGAATTTCAGCTCCCAAAATACTGAGTGAATATGGCCGTTGCTAAGAATTTTGGTAATTGGATTTTGAGCCATAGGTTGTGGAAGTCTGCTTTATACCATACCAAATGAGTTTCTGCACATGCTCAAAAACGTATGTGCAAATTCAGAAATGACTGCCCAAAGTTGCAGGTAAACAACCTACTGTTTTCAATTTGTTGGTGGACTATTGGGCCATTGATATTTTTTCATGGGTTTTTAATCTTCATGTTGGCTGTGATTCTTTATTCATTGGTTAGACTAGCAATTTAGTTTATGTCTTTGCCAGGATAATGAGTGGAAAGCAAAAAAGGAAGGCAACAGTAATTTAAAAAACTGTTCAGTTATGTTTTATGATATGCAAGAGTCTGTACATATCATTTTGGTAATACATACTATTGGTAACAAATGTACATAAATTTGGTTTGAGAATAATTGATTAAAGATCAGAATCTTTTAACATTTATACTTTGATATAAATTCCATTTAAAATCAGTGGATGTTTGCAATACAGAGGAGAAGTAGTTTAATTATGAAATAATGAATTTAGATTACAGTAAATACTTCATGGTTCTGGCTTATGAAATTTCAGTAATTCCCACTGAGGAAGTATTGAATATATGGGAAGCAATTTAAAGGATTAAAAACATCTATTTAATCAATAATCAGTCTTTTGGATGTTGTAGTGACTTTTCAAGCCAACAAATAACTTAAGGCTTTGACATTTTGACGTCGATTACTGAAAATATTCTTAATTTCTTTAGTGAAGGCGGTGTCTTCAAGGCTCATCTTACTTTCCCAAAAGATTATCCTCTCAGGCCGCCAAAAATGAAATTTATCACAGAAATATGGCATCCAAATGGTAAGATATTATGTCTTATAAAATGCTATTTTCTCTCTTCTATTTGGAATGAATGTGAACTACATTAGGAATCACTGTGGGAAATTACTAGAAAGGAATGTCATATTTGGTCCAGAAGAATATCTTCCCTGAAATCAAGATGGACCAGATATGCTTTTGTGAAATAAAGACTGTAAAAGACTTTGTACACTATTTTCTCCTTAATATCCACTATTATGATCCCCTGAAAATTATGAAATCCATCTGAGTGCTGCCATTGTGGTGCTAGAGAAAAGGGGTTTCATAGAAATTTAATATGAATTTTTGAAATGTCAAGCCCAGTAAACTGTTTTACTGTATTACACTGTACACAATCTGTTGAAGTTAAAGACTTGTGACCTCAGAAATTGTATTATACTATTATAATAACTTGCTCCATGGGCATATGGGTTTTGGTGGCTGCTGAGCTGATCTAGCTGTGGTAAGGGCCAGCAGACCCGTTGTTCCTGCCAGGTATATAAACGTTGGGGACTAGAGCTCCGGGGGGGGGGAGGGAATACCCATCTCCTCAGTTACTGGTGGACATGCTGCCAGCCTAACCCAAAAATTGGAGAGAGAGAGAGAAAGAAAAGATCTGTACAAAATGAAGTTGAGTAGAGTGGTCTTAGAGAAAAGTGGGAGAAGTGTGAAGAGTCTTGTTCCCAGTTGGGAAGAGAGAAGAAAAGTCCCAGAGGTGGCTTCCCTGGAAGAAGGAAGACCCAGAAGGACAAGAGCTCCATCCAAGACCCAACAACAAAATGGAGGGAATTGACTGGCTACAGGAGGTGGCAGCATCCACAAACCAAGAAGGAACGTTTGAGATTGGCTTTTGGTGAGGAAGCCCTGTTTGCTGGGAAATAACTAGGCAAAAGACCTTGAGAGAGGCTCTTCCCCAAGAGAGAAGCAGTAGGTGTTCAGCTGAGCAGTTCCAGGCACAGGTAACAACACCTGAGCACGCTATAGTAAATTTTAGCCTCTCTCTTGTCAAACCCATGAATGAGAGATAAAGAGGGCGAGAAAAGGGGAGGAAGAGAAGAGATAGAGGGGGAAAATCTCTTGGAGGAAGATTTGAGAGGAAACGTGACATTGGATATTGTGTTGTATATACCTATTGTAAATGTCTGCTGCATATAACATCACTGTAAAAAGCATAAAGGCCTTCAGTGTCCTGTTTTTCTGTCAGTTGCCAGCCTTGCAAAACAATACACCTCCAATTCAAAAAAAAAGAACTGTGTCACTCTGTGACATTCCATAATTTGGCACGATGGATTGAGGATCGTGACTGAAAACTGGCTCACAGCTGATCTTTGCAGTTATCTGAAATATCTTTGCTGCTACACCCTGCCTCTGAATGATCTTCCTTTTCTTTCTTTGTAGTTGACAAAAATGGTGATGTCTGTATTTCTATCCTTCATGAACCTGGTGAAGACAAGTATGGCTATGAGAAACCTGAAGAACGCTGGCTTCCCATTCATACGGTGGAAACCATAATGATTAGTGTAATTTCTATGCTGGCAGATCCCAACGGCGATTCTCCTGCTAATGTTGATGCAGCGGTATGACTCTTATAAATAAAAATGTTCCTACCATTGCTACAAGAAATTAGGAATTCATTTGAGTCCTTGACTAACAGATTTCTTCTGTAATAAATATTCTCTTAATAAGAAAGACAGGGCTTGAAATAAAAAAAAGTGTGTTTAATAGTGTTAATCTTCTGATTTTGGGTGGCTTAGTGGAATAAAACACAAAACCCAATATACCCCACCGCTGGCAACAGCATCCAAGCAAACCACTTAATGGGTTCCATGGAATCCTTTAAATATTTTGACCTTTTAAGGCCCCATATTGTTGAGTGCCAGATTCTCTGAGAGACCACCTCTCCCTGTTTACATCTACCCATTCCATCATGTCCAGCAGGAGAGGCATGTTGTAGGTCCTGTTAACCAAAGGGCATTGTCTGGTGGGGCCTAAGAAGAGAGCCTTTTCTGCCGTGGTACCCACCCTCTGGAATATTATTTCTCCTGAAGTGAGATTGGTCCCAACTCTATTAGCCTTCTAAAAGGCCTTTAAAACCTGCTTCTGCCATTAGATTTGTGGATCCCATGAAAGAATGGACCCTGTGAAATGGCTGTATTGTATGTAAATTTGGAATGCTCTCTCCCCGCCTCTTGTCCCAAAGGTGTTTTTTTCACGAGGCAACTGGGTTTTCTTGTTTTTCTTGAAGACATTTCGCTTCTCATCCAAGAAGCTTCCTCATCTCTGACTGGAATGGCAGGATTTATACTCCTTGCAGACAAGCTGGTTGTTTGCATTCTTTTAGCCTCTTGTTTCTATATTTTTTAAACTGTTATTTAATTGTATATTAGTGGTTTTGTTTTTATTTTTGATTTGTTCAAGATGGAATTGCAAATTATACTTACTATGAAGTTACTCAACAAGCTACAAATTAAATGTAGGCTTAATTCATTGAAGACGTTAGTTGAAATATCACATGCTACTTTTTTCTCTTAAACAATATAAGAAAATAATGGGTATTTTTCTTAGGAGGTTGGAGAGACAATGCATGTTTTAAACAGTTTTCAAAATCTGTATTTTAATTCACAGAAAGAATGGAGGGAAGATAGAAATGGAGAATTCAAAAGAAAAGTTGCCCGCTGTGTAAGAAAAAGCCAAGAAACTGCTTTTGAGTGACACTTAATTCAGTTAGTAGCTTCACTTTTTTCAGGGTAAGTAATTTAACTGAAAATTCCAGTTTTAACAGGAAATACTGCAAGGTAGCATCATAAATATTACCTTTACATGCTGAGTGTTCCCCAGACAATAAGGAAAGATAGATCTGATACTTATATGGGAAATCTCTGATCCATGAGGACCAGTACTTCACAGGGCAGCTAAGCATAGGAAACAAGTGGCTGATTATAATACTGTTTTACAAAACTATAATATTTAGAGTGTTAATTTTTCCATAGAAACATTTTGTCTAACATATCTCCAGTGTTGTAGAAGCCCATTTGCTTTATCTAATTCTCAAGAGAATAGGTTACATTTATTTATCAGTGTCTTCATAGTAGTTATAAGTGCTAATACTAATCTTGTAGCTGATATTTTTTTAAAATCAAGATATTGGCACTTAACTCTGAAAACTAAACATACAAATTTAGATTTACATATATGTGTGTGTATTAATGGTATTTGGGAATGACCTTGGGAGATAGGATGAAGAGGTACAGCCTAGACAATTGCAAAAAGTGTCTCAGCCCACAGAAGGAAAAGGAGCATGGGAAACATCTCAGAAGGGACATTCCCCGGTTTTCTGGAAAGTAAAAGGTGGGGAGAAATTATTTCAGACTTGCAAGATTCTGTTACTGTAACCTTACAATAAAGGTAATGTTACCGTGTTTCCCCGAAAGTAAGACACTGTGTTACTTTCTTTTGGGCTCTGAAGTAAGCACAGTGTTTTACTTTCGGGGAGGGCTTATTTTTTGCCGGTACTGGCACCAGTAGGCCACAAGCGTACGGGGGTGGAGCAGGACCTATACATGGGGTGGAGAAGCAACGCGGTGGTGCTAGCATGGTGGCGGACTAGTTGCTTCCCTCCCCCTGCCAGACACTTGCTGAAGCCATGCAGGGTAAGATTTCTGCCCCCGCCCAGATGCCCTCGCCTCCCCCAAACGTTTTTTTACTAACCTGCCTTTAATCTGCATTCCGTTTCTCTGTTCGCTTCTCAGCCTTTGCCACGTGTTTGTGGGACTATTAGTAAAAAAAAAAAGGTTCCATCAGACTTTCTAACTTCTCACGAGATCTCAAGAAGTTAGAAAGTCTGATGGAACTTTTTTTTTAACCGATAGTCCCACAAACATGCAGCGAAGGCTGAGAAGCAAACGGAGAAACGGAATGCAGCTGAAACGCAGGTTAGTAAAAGAAACGCTTGGGGGAGGCGAGGGTGGGCACGGAAATCTTATCCTGCACGGTGGCGGAAGGATGGGGCGCATGCCCTTCTCGTGCAAGGCCAGCCCCTGTAGCCCCAGGGCGACTGTGCTGGGTGGCAGTGGGCAGGGTGTTGAGGTGAGGGCCGGCAGGCCGGCCAAAGCAGCAGGTGGAGCGCCAGGGGCTCGGGGAGGGAGGGTGCTGAAGTGGACAGTTGGGCCATTGGCAAGAGCAACGTGGCTCAGCAGAAAGTGGCCTCAGAACAAGTGGGGCAGGTAAGGAAAGAAATCCTTGCTCCCCCCCAGGAATTGCCTTTCTTTTCTTGCCTGATCCCCAGCCCCGTACTGTTTCTCCTTCACGATCCGCCGCTGCATGCAAGGAAACAAAGGAAGTTTTTTTGGGGGGGGGGGAAAGGTCAATCAATCTATTCCAACTTCTCGCAAGAAAGATCTTGCGAAGTTGGAATTGATTGACCTTTTGTTTCCTTGCACGCGGTGGCAGCAGATCGTGAAGGAGAAACGGCATGGGGCTGGGAGTCAGGTAAGGAAAGAAAGGCAGAGAAGTCAGAGAAGAGAACAGAGAAGAGAACTTCGCAGCTCTGCCTACAGAGCCACCAAAGCTGTAGCTGAATGGGCAGATGAGGGGGGAACCTGCCCCACTTGTTCCACAGCTGCTTTCGGCCGAGCTGCACTGCAGTGGCTTTGGGCGCAATGTGCAAGGCAGCAAACAGCCGCGTCACGCCAAAACTGTCCGTTTGCCGCCTCGCGCGTCGTGCCCAAGGGCCGTGGATCCCTTCTCCCCCATCGGCTTCGTCTCATCACAGAGGCCGTCCGTGCAGGCCTTTAAGTAGGGCTTACTTTCGGGGGAGGGCTTATATTAGGCCCCCCCCAAATCAGCTGGGGCTTACTTTTGGGGGCGGGTTTACTTTCGGGGAAACACGGTAGTAGTCATGATTTGTGCTTCTTTGGACTACCTCAAAATACTGAGAACAAGTTGTTCTTCACTTGGATTTGTGGGGGGGGGCATATGAGTCTCTCAATCTGATGGGTAAAGTTTCCTGCTTTACCTTATTTAACGTAGTTCTTCAAGATTACCTCAGTAATTGAATTGGTTTAAGATTCTCCATGTTGTACAGATTATGGGACTTTTAATATCTTGTATGTGAGAGAACAGTTTAAACCAGTGATGGTAACATTTTGGGCTCGTCATACCCAAAATTCAGAAAATGCCTAACTTGACTCTGCTGTCATATCACACACACAGACGCATACACACACACACCTCCCAAACAAAAGAGAAACAATTCTCTTACCTCCATCTGACCTATGCCACCCTAAACAGCGGCACTCAATGGCAGTGCTGAGGCTGGGCCTGAAGTAGAAACCCAGACCTCAACTTCAGCCCTGGCACCATCACTACCACTCAGAAAGGCTGCCTTGTACCATTCCCCAAGGTGCGCAGATCTTGGGGCAATGGCATGATTGCCCCACAACCCAGCGCTTCCTAGGATCTGCACACATCACTTACCTTGAGGTAGTGTTCTCCAGCACTGGAGATGGAGGATCCACCCGTGGGTTGTGACTGTATTCCTGCCCAATCAGATCAAGTCAGCCAAAGTTGTCACGCCCCGTCCTTGGACCTATGCCCAGTCTTGACTTGATCTTGCCCATGGACAGGACGTACAACTCTNGGTCTCTTCCACCGCACACCGTGGTTCTGAGCCTCCTTCCACAGCGACTACTGTTGCTCCCGATTCGGATTTTGATCCAAATTTCATTGAACCGGTGACAGCTCAGCACCGGATCCCATGTCTGCCCATGTTTATAACTGCGGTAAAGAAACAATGGGCACTGCCAGCCTCCTTTCCCCTTCCGAGTGCCACGGACAAACAAAAGTTGTTCAACGTGGCCAAGGAGTTGGAGGAAGCGTTGCAGGTCCCTGCGGTGGACGAGCCTTTTGGACCATTGATTTCACCGACAGTCATTGCGAGGGATGTGTCGGAAGCTTTGAAGTCTGAGGACCGTAAGTGCGAGTTATCTTTTCGCAGGATCCACCAGGCTACCGCTTGGGCCGTTAGGGCAACGACCTCAGCGTCGCTTTTCACTAGTGCAGCCCACCGTTGGCTAAAACACCTACAGGCCCGCACCCCCAAGGATGAGGTCCGCTCTCAACAGGACATCAGTCAGATGGTGGCGGCAATGGAGCACGCCTCAGATGCTACGCTCCAGGTGACTAAGTTCGCTTCCAGGGCCATGGCTTCAGGGATCACCAGTCGACGCATGCTTTGGCTTAAGCATTGGCATGCTGATGCCAAATCCAAGTGGCGTCTGTCCTCTGCCCCGTACCAGGGAGGTAAATTAGTCGGTGAGGCTCTGACTCCTTATCTCTCAGAGAATGGGGATAAGCGCAAAGTCCTCAACCATATTATTAAGAAGGCTGACAAGAGGCAAAATTATTTCCCCCGTAGGCAGTCTTTTCGGGGGGGGGGAATCGATATAATTATTCTATCTCTTTTTCGTCCTTTCCCTCCCAGACCGGACCGTCAAGAGGGTCATTTGACAGACAGGCGAGCAAGCCCAGGCAGCAATACCAGGGTAACCAGGGTAAACGGCCCGTTCGATGGAGCGGCCGGCCATTTCGTCGCTCCAGGTGACTTCCCGGAAACGGGGCCTCCCATAGGGGGCAGACTATCGCTGTTCTCCCACCAATGGGAGGTCACCACCACGGACAAGTGGGTTCTGAACACGATAAGGGCCGGTCTCCACCTGGAGTTCATCTCC